GAAAAGTATGAACATGAAAAGTATGAGCATGTACAGCACTCAGTATTTAGTTGGGCCTCCTTTGGCCTGTATTACTGCAGCAATGCGGCGTGGCATGGAGTCGATCAGTCTGTGGCACTGCTCAGGTGTTATGATAGCCCAGGTTGCTCTAATAGTGGCTTTTAGCTCTTCTGAATTGTTGGGTCTGGTGTATTGCATCTTCTTCTTCACAATACCCCATAGATTTTCTATGGGGTTAAGGTCAGGAGAGTTTGCTGGCCAATTAAGAACAGGGATACCATGGTCCTTCCACCAGGTACTGGTAGCTTTGGCACTGTGTGCAGGTGCCAAGTCCTGTTGGAAAATGAAATCTGCATCTCCAAAAAGTTGGTCAGCTGCAGGAAGCATGAAGTGCTCTAAAACTTCCTGGTATGTGGCTGCGTTGACCCTGGACCTCAGAAAACACAATGGACCAACACCAGCAGATGACATGGCACCCCAAACCATCACTGACTGTGGAAACTTTACACTGGACTTCAAGCAACGTGGATGAAATGCCTCTCTTCTTTTCCTCCAGACTCTGGGACCTTGATTTCCAAAGGAAATGCAAAATTTACTTTCATCAGAGAACATGACTTTGGACCACTCACCAGCAGTCCAGTCCTGTTTCTCTTTAGACGCTTCTGACGCTGTCTGTGGTTCAAGAGTGGCTTGACACAAGGAATGCGACAGCAGAAACCCATGTCTTTTATACGTCTGTGTGTGGTGGTTCTTGAAGCACTTACTCCAGCTGCAGTCCACTCTTTGTGAATCTCCCCCACATTTTTGAAGGGGTTTTGTTTCACAATCCTCTCCAGGGTGCAGTTATCTCTCTTGCTTGTACACTTTTTTCGACCACATCTTTTCCTTCCCTTCGCCTCTCTATTAATGTGCTTGGACACTGAGCTCTGTGAACAGCCAGCCTCTTTAGCGATGACCTTTTGTGTCTTGCCCTCCTTGTGCAAGGTGTCGATGGTCGTCTTTTGGACAACTGTCAAGTCAGCAGTCTTCCCCATGATTGTGTAGCCTATAGAACTAGACTGAAAGCTCATTTAAAGGCTTTTGCAGGTGGTTTGAGTTAATTAGCTGATTAGAGTGTGGCACCAGGGGCCATCAATTTTGAACCTTTTCACAATATTCTAATTTTCTGATATGATGAATTTGAGATTTTCATTTGTTGTCATTTGTAATCATCAAAATTAAACAAAATAAACATCTGAAATATATGAGTTTGTATGTAATGTATGAATATAATATACAAGTTTCACTTTTTAAATGGAATTACTGAAATCAATCTACTTTTTCATGATATTCTAATTTTATGACCAGCACCTGTATTTATTATTTTGCTCATGCTACAGCAGCAAAAAAAACCAAAAAATATGTCACATTTATAATACTAAGCTGGAAAATGTGTAGTATGAATATTCAAAGGCATCCTAGAGGAAAGGGAAAGATGCTTGGACCTGGAATTATAGCATGTGCAAGGGGAGTGTGTGTATGCTTCCCATTCTTGTGTGTTCTAATAATGGTTGTCTGGGGCCGAATGCATGTGTGTGACCTCCTTTTGGTCTGCTTCCTGTCCTGGGTGCAGATCTGGGATCCTTATCCTTGCTTTTGAATGCCTGCTATTTTCTTATGAAGAAAATTTGTTTGCATAAGGGCATGCACTCATACACACATGAATTGGTATTTAGATTCAGGTACCTAAAGATACTCAATACATAATCGCATTTAAAGTTTAATCTCTTTTTTCTTATTTTACTTAGAGCTCCAGTTGCCACTTAACTAAAAAAGCAATCTGAAAGTCACACTTTGGGGCAAATTTTGCCCCACATTGTAACTTAAACCTATAGCTTAAATCCGCACATTATCTGAATCATTACAAATTAATTGTTCCTTTGCATGAGGCACACACCTGGTAAAAAAAAAAAAGTCTTTAAAATCCTTTCATACGTTAATCAATAAGGTAAAGTGTGTGTCTGCAACCTTTGGTGTCTGTTCTGCTCTCGCCTTCTCTATTTGCTCTGCACCCGGCTTTCTTTTTGGATCAGCAGAATGGGACTTTTAGGGAGGCATGGCTCCCCTTTCATGTGTTTTTGTATTTTTTGTCTTCAGTATAATACTTCTGAACTTTCTGAGTCAGACACTAAAGGTGTCAAAACTCACAGTTTCCACCCTCTGGTTAATGGAGGAATTGCCTGTTCTGCCAAATAATATTAAAGAATAATTTTTCAAATCCCTGTATCCGGATTATGATCTGGATCCTCTTGGCGTGAGGCATAACTCTGGTAAAACTATAATTAACATATGTTCATAACTTTTCAAGCAATCCTGCTGAAGGACAAACAAACACGACACATAACCTCTCTGGCCTAGGTAACAGTTAGTACAGCATACTTTACATTGTTAAAAGCAAACATAAAGGGAGATAGTATTCTCTTTATCCCTCTTTCTCTTCTATATCCATCACTTTGAGAGATGACATCTTCTTTTTTTACTTTTTACCCCACCTCTCTCCATTTCTTTTTTTTCGTGTCACTTTGATTACAATTGAAATAATTCCAATACCTTGGAATACAATAGGGATGTCCTAATCAGATATTGGTGTCGGAAATCAGTCCAATATCAGCCAAAAATTCATATCGTAATGTATCAACCTGTATTTAAAGGCTCTGTTACCAGCAAGTAGACAAAGGTGATGCTTAAGGTTTGAGTTATATCCCTTGATTAATCTTCTCAAGCATTCCACACTACTGAATGAGTAATGAAAGTATGAATGATCTGATAACGATCGTAAATTAAAGTATTGAATCTAGACACTCATAGAGCACTCCATGCAGGCCAGGGATAGTTAGTCTAAAGTTAAAGTTCGTGTATAAACTATATTCCAATCTTACTGGTAAATGCTCAATCGTTTGTCTAGAATTGCCTATGCACCTAAACAAGCATGACTGAGCAAGGTGAACATTATCAGAGAAAGAGTCAATAGGACCAATGACGTAACGACACACCAATATAAGCAACATTTTCTGGGTGGGCCCCATATGAAGTATAACACCCCATATACCCCCGCCCCCCCCATGCCCCCTGCTGCCTCCGCCACTTCATCATTCTTCACCTAGACATATATACTTGCTTGAATTTCTTCACTTATCTTGTCGCAATCTTCACTCACTGAAGCAGCAACATCCGCCTCTCACTCTTAGGTTCTTTGAAAGAATGTGTTTATTTTGGGAAGTTTTTTCCGTTCTTCCAACAGCTCTTCTTTGTTTTTTCTTTTCTGGAATCTGCTTCAGTACCTCTTTTTGGTATCCATGGTCTCTAACACATTGTACGTAACCGTAATGGTTTTAATCTACGCTTTGGATTACTCATATTTTCAAGTCGTATTGTAAAAAATAAAATACTCAAATACATTGTTCTTTTAACCCCTTGAACCCTACGGACCCACCGGCGGGTCCAGCTGCTACATGACCTTGTAGTTTTACCAAACCCCCAGTTTTGATGTAAAAAACACATTTGGCACAGTTTGGTGACATTTATGGATAAATGTGCCAAAATGGCCTCTCCGCCTAAGAAATTTCTCACTAATACCATTCTAAAATAAATATGATTCATCTGATTGAGTCCACATTTTGTATATTTTTACACAACATTTAGATTTGAAAGTCTGTACTACTTTTTTGTGCTATAAATAATATTTTGGTAGTGTTTTGCAATGTTTATTTCAAAGAAAATTTTGGCGAGGTTCAAAAATTGCAAAATATTTTGTACTTTGTCCCTAATATTTCAGGCAGGGTCAGAGCTACAATGGTGCTGACACCAGAAAACCATTCTATGACATCTTACCTTTACAGACGTACCAAAAGTTTCTTCTTAAATCTAATAGCTTTGAGGCTATAAGTTATTTACTTTTGTGTGTTTTTTTCAGGCAGAAATTTATTTATATCCCCTTAGGGTGTAAGAGGTTAAGATCTTTATTGTGGTTTGAAACACATTATATGAGTGTATTTTTTACCAATCGTCTAATGAACTATGCACAGTTATTAACATAGTAATTAAAAGTACCACTGCTTTGCTATTGGTGTCGTGTTTAAATGGCTCACCATCATGTTGAAATCTGGCATGTGTTGCAGTATAAATAAGGTCTGGTCAGTCAGTTTAGCATCAGGTGTGTAAAATAGGAATTTTAGCACTATTCTCTGCAAAGAGACGTCCTAGTCAATTGCATAGGGGGCCTACCAGGATTCAGTGATGGGGCCCCTAAGAGGTCAGAGGTCTCTGCTTACCAATATTTACGCCATTGAAGAGGACAACAGTAACACTGGAGGAGCTGCAGAAATTCACAGTTCAGGTGGGTGAATCTTAGGAGGCCTTTCAGGGTAAAGTATTTTTTTCTCTTTGCATTCTACTCTGCAATTATAACTCTTAAACTTGTCATTTTTTTCTATAAATATAAAAAATATATATTATGTATTTGTTATATCACAATATCATATTATAACAAATTAACATTTGGAATGATGTGATAAAATAGATGTCCATGCCAGTCCCCTGGCAGACCATGTGTGTCTAGTTCTTTCTTTGAATGTTTGCATTTAAATCTCAGCTTAAAAATGGGGCCATGCATTTTCTCACCTTAAAAGTGCGACCTAGAAAAATAACAGATAGCTTCTCTACACTTAGAAGATTCCTTATGCGGAAAAGGGTCTGTAACAATGAACGGTGTTTTAAATGTAACCTTTAAATCCATTCATGTGCGTGAAAATGGCGAGTGGTTCAGGGAGGGGTCTGCCTTTCTGATGTCTCCATGGGAAGCCGGCCGGCGCCTGGGAAGAGCCGGCAAAATGTCCCATCCCATCAGAGGCGGAGAGTAAAATTAGGTTTTTGTTTTATTATGAACACAGGGATATAATTCATCTTCAGATCAACCGAAAACACAAATAATAATAAAAAGACGCATTTGATTTTCGGTTTACCTCTGTTTGGATGTGTCCGTCGCTCTCCTCCTCGCATCCTTCCGTCTGCGCGGATGATGAGCAGGGAAGCATTTTTCCAGGAAAATATTGTTTAAATAATCCAGTTTATGCGTTTAATTGCAGAGTGACATGAAAAAATATGACTCTATCCAGAGATCATAACCCAGTTGTGCATGGCGGATTTTGGCCCCAAACAAATGGGATGGAGAGCAGCTCTTTGGTCCTCCTTCCACTGTCAGCATCCTCTGCCCCTCCTCTTCCTCAGCTTCCATCCAGCGATATTCACGTCATGAAAGCGGAGCTTTTTTTTATATCAAACCTTAAAAATAAATTTGACATTTTCTGTTTGATATTTTAAGGGAATCTATATTTATGATAACAGCAAGCAGACAATAAAAAAAAAAAAAAAAAAAAAAAAAAAAAAACAGGCAATATAAATATACATTTAAGAATATTAGATTGACAAAATGTCACATATTGTCCCCTGATTTCTCTATTTTCCACAGCTTCATCATTCATATAATCATAACTGCATTCTGAGGGTTAGATAGAAAATATAATTATTGTATGCTGTAGTTATTACACGGAAAATGACAGCTGCAAACATGGGACGACGGCGACACCTGCAGGTTCTGAGCTGCAACTACTTCAGATTTCTTTCTTATTATAAATACATTAGTTCACAGAAAGAAAGAAAGAAAGAAAGAAAGAAAGAAAGAAAGAAAGAAAGAAAGAAAGAAAGAAAGAAAGAAAGAAAGAAAGAAAGAAAGAAAGAAAGAAAGAAAGAACACCTTTGGCTTCAGATGTTTGCATGTATATACCTTAATAAAAATAAATTATTGTTTGTATCCACCGAGGACCCCGATACTGCATGTATCATTTCTGAAACATACAGCAAATTCCTCAGTGAAAGGTTGAAATAGCCGGAGACTATTGGTCGTCACGTGACCCACAGTCACGTGACGACCAATAGTCTCCTTCGGTAACTGCAGCGCTAAACACGGAAGCGCTGCTTCAAGGACCGCGTTCCTCAGACCTTTCTGCCCGCGGTGCAGCTCGGTTTAACGGCTCGGAGTGTCGCCCAGACGGTGAACGGCATGGCGGGCTCTCAGCTTTGGACTGCGGCCCTGACGACGGTTCTGGCCGCATTGATATTTCAGGCAAACGGCGGCTCCTTCAGCCTGAGGAGAGTCAGACACGCAAAGGTTTGTTTTAGTAAATGTTTGTTAACTATGTCTCCCTTTAAAGTCCAACCGTTCACTACATGTTTATAAATATGTATCTAACGCGTTGCTTGAACAGGAAGTTATTACCAGTGTTAAACATGGTGTATTTTAGCTAGAAGACTAGAAAGAAACACTAGAACACTAAAGCCTGTTTGATGATTAAATAATCAATTATATAAATTCAGCATTTCTAGGAACCATGTTTAAACCTTTGTTGAAATAGTTACTATGCCTTCCAGATTATCCTTAAAAAAAAAAAATTATAATAATAAATATATATATATATATGTACATAAAGTTGCTTAAACTGAGAACTCTTAAGAATTTTTTCTGAAAAAATCTACTACTGATAATAATAGTAATAATAATAATAATAATAACACTTAATTATGCAATTGGCGTTCTTATTTATAGGAGAAATGTGATGGGAAGTGTGATGAAATGAAATGTGATGGGACCCTAAGTAATTCTCTGCAGATTTTTTTTGTTTTACCAGTTTCAGTTTCTCTACAAAGTTGATGCAAAGAACCAATGTTTCTTTTAAATGTTATTACAGAAACAATGTTTCTTTAATAATAGACCAGAAGCAACTTTTCGTGTTGTTTGACCTTTGATATTAGTCTCTTTCCTGGTGCAAATTTCCACACAGAAAATGAATGACTTAATGAATAAACTGCTCTTAAAGCAGGAAGTTGAATGAAAGTTGAAGCGGGTTTTAATAAGGGAATTTCAGGTTGAAGAAACGGCTGTTAATCATCCATCCCTACGGTGTTAAACCTGTGCAGGTTTTGGGTTTTGACTGGAAGAACTGCGGAAGTCCTGAAGCTCCGGCAGTACTAAAGACCCTGACCCTATCTCCAGATCCCATCAAGATCCCAGGGTCACTGACAGCTGCGGCATCTGGATCCACTTTGGTTGAACTCATCGCCCCTCTCTCTGTAAGTCCTGCAACACAAACCTCAACAATCTGCTGAAAATCTTTCAGATGTAATAAGATGCTTGCTATAGGGACACACCATGTCTGTTCTCATTGACTTTACACAGTTTGTTTTGGTTGCATCATAAAAACCAGCTGACCCACAACAAACTATCAATGAAAACACTCACCGCTAACACAAGAGGTATTTTGTTATCTACTTCTTCTGTTTACCCTCTAATCAGATTAGACATGGACCCTCAATCTCTCAATAACAAAACAATAGATGATATTATATCTATTTAGAAGCGGCAATAAACGGAAGTGAGATGCTGTGTAAAAACAAAACCTCTTTACCAGCAGCACTTTCTACCACTGTTTTCTTAATAAACCACAAAACCATGTTTATCTGTTTATCATTGACTACGTGTGATAGGTAGTCTGTGAGAAACCCTTAGACTCTTACTCAGCTGCTCAGCTGTTTGTCTGCAGCCAGCAGTTTTTTTGTTGGTTGCTGCAGACCTTGCTGGACCTGCTGCCCAACCATCATGTGAGACACAATGAGCTGCAAACATCCAATCAAAAATTGGATTTTCTACCATTTGGACAATGATCTACTCTAGTGAAATGCATTTTGTAGCAGATTTTAAGTTTCTTGTGTTTCTGTTAACTTCTCAGCATATTTTCTGCAGTGATCAACACAGTTGGGAGAATAGCTGGATACGGGTTCTGACTGGTTTCAGCTCTCGTTAGGACCCAGTGGTCCCAGCTTCAGTTTGGCACCATTGTTTATTTTTAATTAATGTTTATGACTGGCCCACTTGCAAAAAGTTTTTAAATCTCCAGCAGCAGGGGAGGAAGTGAAGAAAGCAGCGGAGTCTGGTGTATAAATGTTTGAACCCGCCTGGATATAAAAATGAGTTAAAATGGAAGTCTTGGCAAAATATCTTTATGGTTTCACTCAGCCTGAATATTTCTGTGTGTAGTTTTTACAGTCCTGTTGTGTTTGGTGCTTTTCTGTATCTGTGCAGAATTTCTTGAAAATACACAAATGAAATTCAGTCTTTCCAGAGCTCACTCTCACCTCTGATTCCCCTGCAGCTGAATGTGACTTTGGAGAAGGAGGTTGCAGGTTTCTGGGTGAAGGTCCCCTGCCTGGAGGAGCTGGGCAGTTGTCACTATAAGGACGCCTGCGACCTCCTGAACCAGCTGATTCCACCGGGACAGGACTGTCCTGAACCACTGCACACCTACGGCCTACCCTGCCGCTGTCCCTTCAAAGCTGTGAGTCATTTTTTTTTTACCAATAGACACAACATGGTTTGGGTACTAGCATAATTTTAAAGGTACGAAATTATGTATCTAAGTGTCATTAATGTAGAGTTTATAAAAAATAAACTAAAATCAGTAGACAGGCTGAAGTATTTTTAACTATAAAGAAGAAGGTCAGCGGAAGAAATTATGGTCATTGATCCATTTTTCTTTTCTTACTTTTAAACAACTGTACTGCTAAAACTCAATAGCTGGTAAGCTAATAAATATTAGCTCCAAAGTTTTTTTTATTTAAGCCGTGCCTATCAGCAAGAGAAGCTGTCAAGCCAAAGGCACAGTGTTTTTTTTTTTGTGCAACTGCCCTTTACACTTAAATAAGTGCATTGCTGCATAAATGTCCTTGTTGATAAGATCACATCACACATCAGACTCTTAAAGTGTCATTGATAATACTTCCTGTTGGCTCACTACAGCCACCAAATATTTATCTGACTTTCCACTTCCCTCACCAACACCTCAGTTAAACTGCCCTTTTTTCCTGTCTTTTGGTTTTGATTGCCATCGTTGAATGTGGGAGTGCGGTCACCAAATATGGGATGGTGCCTTGGATGCACACTCACCCCGGTGTTCCACTGAACGTTAACGCCGCTGAGATGGACCTGCTCTGGGTCTGCTTGCTGGGCACTGGTGGAGTTAACGCTGGAGTTTCTGGCGTGGTTCACTAGTGCTCACGGCTCACACTGGTCGTAGTAACAGCTTCAACAAAATATCTATATATGCCTGGATTTTCTGGGCCCAATCTATGCTGTAAGAGGGTGACTGAGTGAGTAAAGTTGTGAAAAATCAACATGGAGGAAGAGGCAATGTCCTAGTTTTACAATTTAACAACAGTTGCAGAAGCAAATGAAGCACGTTTCCCACTTTTATTTTGTAATGAAAAAGCTTTATTAACAAATATTTATAATTTGAGGTACAATTACTAGTGATGGTGAGATGAAGCCTCGTAAGGCATTGAACCATTTGCTTCAACGATCCCCACAGTTCATAAAGCTTCATGTGAGCATGTCACCACCTACTGGTGGAGTGCAGAACTGCAGTTAGTAAAATAATCTGTGATTTTTTTTTTTTTAGAATTGTTTTTCTTGTTCCCATTTCAGTTCCTATGAAATTGTTAATGATTCGTTTGTATAATCAAATATTTTGTAAGTTTTTTAAGTGTAAAATGTTTAAGAAGGGTAAAATCATTTAAGCCGTTTTAGTGAAATAAGCTTAAGCAGAGAGTGAAACTGTTTGTGCAGATTGGGCAACGATAAACAAAATGAAAGGTGTTAGTCATTTTTATTCAAAAATTATAGTTTTTCCACAGTTATTTGTTCTAATCAGGTTGAAATTATGTGTTCAAACAATGTTTTGGTTAAACCAACCCGTCTAATTTGGTAGTGCTTTTAACCAATCTAAATTTGTACAAGGGCAAACCAATACAAATTAGTCACATTAGCCAAAAATACTGGTGTTTTATCGCAACTTTCAAACATCTAAGTTGGGTTTTGAACCAACAACCTGAGGAATGGAAATCAGTGTCTTACAGCTGACACCACTGGGGAGCTGATAGCTCATCTGAAGGCAATACTACTTAATACTGATGTTACACCTGTAACCAGTGGCCCGCTCAGATTTTGATCATTACATTGTTTAATGTAACCAAAATAGTTTTATCCAACCATATTGGTTGTTTCTCCAACCAACCTATTGTTAGAATATATCCAAACTCTATCCACCTCTCCCACATCTTGACTGAATACTGAGGCTGTTTAAATTCTTGCCGAAGTTCAGGGCGAGCTGAACCACTTCCCGAAGCGCTCACTTGACATGGCAGGGTAGTGAGGCTTCGAACGTCATCTATTTTGGCTCCTCCCCCCAATTAAGCAAGCCTCAATACCCACCTCGCGAAAACGCCCCCTCTACTACTCAGCAGACGCCTCAAAGCCTCGGCTCATCTCATAAGATCACTAACAATTATGCAAAAAGAGCCTTCATAGGTCCAAAAGGGTTCAATAATTTTTAAATATTCATTAGAGGGGCTATTTATCACACAAATAAATACCTCAGGCAGTTGCTATTATTATTATTAAATTATTTCATCATCACTTTTTATATTATTATTATTATTGTTATGGAAGATACCATTTCTGAAACAAATTAAAACAGATATTAGTAATATTACCCACCCCAAGGTAGTGTACATAGTAATCCAGACAAAGTCATTTTTAATACTGAATCAAATGTGTGTCGAGGTCATTCATTGGTTCGTGGGGCTTTAAAACTGAGTACCTTAGGTCTCTGGATCTTATGGCTGATAAGCCTCTTCAACATTGCCATGGCGATCAGGGACGGCGCTGCTTGCAAAGTAGGGTTGTGTCCACCAGAGGGGGAGGTAGCAGCAGCTGAAGGATAAAAGTATCTGGATCAGTCCCCATCATGTTGAAGCACGAGGACAAAATGATAAAGTGACTCAAATATTGTAACATTACAATTTCAGAAATGTGGTCAGGGAGCTCCTATATCTTAGCCAAGCTCTTATCAGTGATTAAAAGCAGGTGGAGTAACATAAGTAAACTGGGAACAAATCTAAGTGCTAGTATGATGAGAAAGGTTCATTGTCTTCAAGATTTAGTCTGGGGGATGATATCCATCATGTTTAAGAGGCTTAAAGAAGTTAGGAAGATTGAGAACACTGGAAATGACCATTTTATTCTACTTGCTCAAAAGAAGCAGGTAGAGTCCTGTCTGATTCTCCCTATATTCTCTTTCTCCCACAGGGCTCGTACTCGCTGCCTCAGTCCGAGTTCTACCTGCCCTACATGGACCTGCCTTACTGGCTCACCAACGGGAACTACAGGGTCCAGGGCAACCTGGGTGGTGGGGGAAAAGGGCTGGCTTGCCTAAAACTGTCCCTGTCCATTCACTCCGACTGAGGATGCATCCCAGAACAACTTCAGTTTTATAGTGTTTTCAACGTTTGATCTATGTTTGATTCACATTTCAGCACCTCAGTTTCTCCACACCAGGAGAATCAGACACGGAAAGGTAGATCAGGTACTAATAATGCTTTTCATTTTAACATGTTCATGAGTTTTAACACTGGAATCTCTTTATACATGCTGACTGTTTTCTTTTCTTTTGTCTACTAAAAAGCAGCCCCAGAAAACTGACTTAAAAAAAAAAAGTAATGAAATGGTTGAATATTCTGCTGAAAATCTTTCAATATGCGGATCGTATGTTTATGTTTTATGGTTTTATAAATGGAAAGAAATTGGAAATTGGAGGGAAAAAAACATGCTTTTTCTCGTGAGAGTTTTCTTCTACTTTTGATTTTGTCTTTTGTCAGAAGATATTTTTTCTAAATCTAAATTTAGTACAAATATGTTGTTTTTTCTATTTGGGATCACAAGCCTTTTCTAATAAATAAAGTGAACAGATGTATCTACATTTTTCTTAAGCAGGACCTGTTTTGATACAATATTATTTAGTGTTTTATTTTTACTCGATGAACAAAACAAAACTGGTGTATTAAAATTGGTTGTGGGCTTTATTTTCCTAATTGGTTATAATTAGTAGTATAATAACTTCTACCTTAGTTGTTGTACACAGAAATCCCAATGCTTAATATGAAGTTCTGTGTCCTTTTTCTTCTGGAAGGTTCCAAAAAAGTTAAACAACCATCCACTTTGTTTCCAAGTTTTAAGACGTTTCGCTTCCCATCCAGGAAGCTTTATCAATTCAAAATGTCAGAATTAGCGCTGAGTTCTAAGCTTTATGGAGTAGCCCAAAACAAAGCCTTTTTTTCGCTTAGAAAACATACAAATTGTATCGGAAAAACGGGTCGGCCCCTAGGAGTGGGAAGTCGTTGAGATCTTTGCTAGCCTGCAATAGCCGATACTGGTCTATGCCTCTGAAAGGGTCATTGTTGGCCTAGGGGCATTGTTGGCTTTCTAGAAGGTCGCATCATCTCAGGAAAAAGAAATGGTCATTTATTATCAGGACTTAAGAAAAAAAAATACTTAAATCTGTTGTCATATGCGCCTTTTTTTTTTTTTTTAACATTTCCCCTTTGATGTTAAGGCAAATCATTGCAACACTAAAAAAGTAAACTCTCAAACCAGAAGTTTGACAGATTTTAGTAAAATAACACAAATAATAATTTTAATGTGTTATATTCCTGTTTGTGGAAGATTCATTAGGCAAAACGACAATGAAAACGATTATGAAAATGATGTTAATATAATACATGCACGTAGTCTATGGTAGATAACCAATCCTTTTTGAAAGAAGAGCACAAAAAAGATCCTTTTTCCATAATTGTCACTACATTTTTAACCACAAGATGGCAGTATTTCATCTTAACAGAGGATTAAAGAAAATACACATTTGTTCAACAATGTAGACCTTATGTCTGCAAAGGATGACCAAAAAGCTCAGTTTATCGTCCGAGCTTTGATTTCCTTGGTGTGTAATACTGATAAGGCAAAAACAGACTAGGCCGCAGCAAGACTGAATGTTTGTGCTTTGCAACAAAGAATGTAGAAAACAAAAGGAGGAAAGTGAGGAAGTGCACAAGAGAAGCAGACGAGTGTTTGGGCTGACAGGATGTTAGTTTCTTTAGGTTCAAGGATGATGATTTGATTCATCTGGCCTTCATTCAACCTGTGGCAGCTGTGCATTTGATTACTAGACATTGCTGTAATAGCAGGCAAGCATTTAATAATCTTTCTATCATAGAATTCAAATTAATTTAACTTCAATAAACAGACAGCAGTTACTGGTAATGTTTAGTTTATCTGCTATGCACATGCTGTGGTTGTGCTTTTAAGTTAAGGCTTTTAAGGCCACATTATCACCATCTCTAGTTAAATTGCTGTGGTTGCAGTCATTTCAGTGCGCTTCCTGTCTCAGAAACAAGTGGTCTGCAGATGCCTGCAACACACAGCCATAGAAAAATACCAAGGAACTGCCTTCTTTCAAATGTTTGCAATCTGTTCTCCTTAAGTCTTGTTGGAAAATGTCCCAACTTGCTGATAAGTTGAAATTTATTTATCACAAAGTTTTTCCACTTCAAATAAAATGTACTTCCATTTCTGTTTTAACCTTGTTTTTAATCATGTTTGAAGTATTTTAATCATCTTGCAAAATGAATTTCAAAAGAATGAATTCACTGCAGAACAAAAACGTTCTGAACTAAGGAATGCCCCTTTAATTACCACATTAAAGTGACTTATACGTAAATTAAATTAGTCCGCATTCTGTTCCCTTTTTAGCCAGATTCAGACCTTCAGTAATAAGTGGAATGTCTCATTGGAACCTTCATCCAAAAAAATACCTAAAGCTCTATGTGCAGTTTCAGTTTAGGAATATTAAAAGTAGCATAAAGTTTCATGGCATAGAATTTTATTAAAAAAATAAGAAAACATTTTAAAAAGGGACAAAAATGAAAGTTTCTACAAGCAGGAGCAATTGAAACCAAGTGATATAACCTTTTTATCTTCGTAAAACAATGCATAAATGAATCCAAGTTAATAAAAGGAAAGATATTCACAGCACAAGAATACATCGTAATCATAAAGGAAAAAAATTACAAAGGTACATTTTTAAATCTTCTCAGCATAGTTATCAGGATAGTGGGTTTTCTGAAAGTTCACTCTAAGTTTAAAGTTCAGACTTCACCAAATACATCAAAGCAAAATGACGTTACTTCAGTCTGGTCCATATAAAGCTGCATCATTTAACATTTTTTGTTCTAGATACAGTAATTCATTAAATTCTGTTTCAGCTGTGTTATCAGTATAGAGGGTAATGCCTTCACCATGCCAGTAGGTGAAATACATCTTAGGTAACATGAACAGAAGGAACAGTAGAGGTGCAACGCTGGACCACTGAGTTATCACAAAGGATATTGCAAAATGTGTTATTATGAAGTCTACAAGCAGAGCCTTGTTTCAAGACAATACCTCATTTTTTACAGTGTGCCGTTTAAGCTTTAATCACATTAGAATCAACACATATCCAATTACTGACACTCCTGGTTCCTCCAGGTCACCAAACATTAAATTAATTAACCTGAAATAAACTAATTACATTATTTTCAATGATATTATTTCATCATGATATGAAACATATGTTGTCTTAGGTTCAAGTCGATCAAAGATGACAATTGTTGAAGTATAACTAGTTTGGAAAACTATCTTTGATATGTCAGCTTGTAGAGGAAGACCTGACTGTCACAGGAAGATTCTTCCTTCAGTTTTTCTAGTCATTCAGTCCTCTTCATAAGTATCTGAACAGCACAGCAACTTTCGATATATCACTGTTTGTATTTGCACCACAGCAAATGTAAAGCAACAAATAATCTTAAAGTAAATCAAATTAAATGTGTTGGTGTTAGCCTTGTTTGAAATCCTCTAGCCTGCAACACGTGAACGTCACAAAAATTGTACATTCTTAATTTATGATGCAATTTCAGGCTTTAACTGCAGCTTCTTTCAGTTCTTGCTTTTTCCCCCTCAGTCTCCTCTTTAGGAGGTAAAAAGTATGTCTCAGTAGGTCAGATGATTGACTTAGCTAGTCTCTTTTTTCCCCTGATGAAATTTAGAAACCTTTTGTCTTCTGATTTATGGACAAATCCTTCCACATTAATTGGGAGGCATGTTATCACATAGCAGAACAGTGACCCAAAGCACCCGCAGTAAAAGAATCTTATAATAAGAATATGGAAATGTTTTTGCACGAGGCCCAATGTAACTAAAATAAAACCTCCTGTGCCATGCACCACTGTCAAAGAAAATTAGCATAGTTTCTTTTCAACTCTTTTCTTTTTCTATTTAGCTCCTCTTGTTTAATTAGGTTCAATGTTAAGTTTGTATGTGCAAACAGTTTAAGCTCTTTATACAATCTAAGCTTACATTCCTTAAGAACTAAAAGGACCAATTGAACATTAAGTAGAAGAAAGGTTTTTACTGGCGCCCCTAAATGCCAACTGATGTGCTTCCATGTTGAGATTTGATTATAAACCCAGCAAATAGATCCTTGCTGCTTCTTCCAATGTTTGTTTCTTTGATTTTAGTTTGAAGTTTTAATTAATAACAGATGTATGTGAACGGGTTATGGGGGAAGCAGTCTCAGCAGAGACCCCCAGACTTCCCTCTCCCCAGACATCTCCTCCAGCATATATTCTTCTTAAGATTTAAGAATATATGGACTCTGCTTTTACTGTAACTAACCGTTTGTGCTCTCTTTGATCATCTTTAACGAAAAAAGTGGCTCAGAGTTCTTCTGCTTAATTGCTGCTTTCCTGGACAGATCCACCGATGGACCCATGATACATATTTCAGGCTCTAGTGGGCTCAATCATCCTCCAACTACATGCAGTCTACCTCTTTTTACAACTCAGTAAGGGCCAGCTGCTGATAACATAACTCGTGTGATGTGGAGAAAGCGCTTCCGTTGCAGTTTTGTAAAATGTTAAAAATTTCGATATGACTGAAAAACTACCTCATCAAAGCAAAAAACAAACAACTTTTTATAGAAAATCATGAGTTTTTTTTTTTTTTGAATATTTCAGTTTTTACGTTTAGTTAATTTATGTTGAAATTACAATTTGTGCAATATGCTGCTTTCTGAAACATGGGAGCCTCAGTGGTATTAATTAAATCCCAATGTCATATATTGCATGAACAATTGTTGAAACACATAGAACACATCACAACATCGGGTGAAAATAGCTGTTGTGAAGCATTCTGAAATAATAAACTCCAGAAACGACAGCTAGAGTTCAGCACAAGTTGACTGTTCTGCCTGAATGATCACTTTTCCCTCTTGACTCATGAGGGAAACCTCCTCACTGTCTGGCCGCAGTCAGTCAAAAGTATGTTCGCCAATCAACATTTAGCAGCCAGCTTCATGACCCGCCCCTGTTCCATAGACTTAAGTGTACGTGATTGAAAAAAATCGCACAGTGTCCGCCCGGCTTAAGAAGTTTAGCTTCACTGTAGCTGTATTTTGGAGTATTATCCACTCTACTTTCTCACTGCTGAATAAACAGCTGATTAATGTGAATCATATACATGTCATCAGGTACATTTTAGTGCATATTTAATGCAGTTTAATTACTATATTTTATAAAGTTTGACATTGCATATTTTACCAATATGTTTACAAAATTTACAGGGGAGGTTTATCCTCCTTACTATTCAATGTGTAATCACCATTGATGAAAATGACACAATGTAAGTAAATAACTTCTGCAGCTACATGCTCACTTCAGTCTAACAGATCCTGCGGGGCCAGTCAGCTGTGTGTCCTTAGAAAGAAAACAATATATTGAAGTGTATAACCTCTAATTTAAAATTACTGAGAGATAAACTCATTTCCATATTTAGAGGATGCCCTCAGGAAAGCCTTGCCCCACTCCGGCCTCCCTAACAATACAA